CCTGTGACAACCTCAGCTCCAACTACAGCCGATTCTTAGAAGTTGTGGCAGCAAAACTGGGAATGAACAGTGAATGAACAGGAGAAGGAGGAGGTGTCTTATCAGCTCTAGTCATCAGCATCAACATAGGGTGAGGACTTCCAAAAAACCATCCCGCAGGAAATTAATTGTCAGACGCGCATAAATTCCTCTCCCCACGCTTAGCCCGAGATGACGCTGCTGCTGCTGCTGCTGCTTCTGTGGCGGTGGTGGGAAGCGATAAGGAGGCGTTTTGTGCGTGTGTGAGTGGGTGCGTGTGATGTCGCCGCTTAATGCGCCCCGCTCTGTGAAAAATTTTCCCCCCAAATCACGGTGATCCCATCGTCATGTGTTGCACATGACTTTAGTGTCAAAAGTCAACAGTTTTTCAATGGTGTCACATATGAGCTTCTCAAATTTCACCTCAACTCTAATAACGGTTTTGAACTTTTTTCTCTGCATAGAGCTTATAAATACCAAGTTTTTTAGTGGCATGACTAATGCAATGTCTTGAGTAGGAGAGCTTGCAAAAGCCTTTGCGCATAGAAATTTAACAGTAAAGTTGCATTAATACAGGCTTGCAGAGTTCTTCATTCTTCTACTAATGTTTGCCCATTTTGGGGTTGCCATTGATAGGAAATGAGCGTGTGTTGGAAACCGTTTTTAACAACTGCAGATAACTAAATGAAGTTAGTGGAAAGGTGGCATGCTATTGTAGGTATGTATTTAAATAAAGAAGCCACGGAAGTGGTCAAATCAACTTCAACATGTTAAACTATTTGTGCGACCCTTTCTTCCATGCTTGCAGTTCGCCCCTTTAGTTGCTTGAATGGAGATAGTGAAGCGCAGTTCGAAGTGGGCATTAGGCCTTAAAAGGTCCACAATGAAGTAGTGGAAGGAATGAAAAAGAGGATAGTGTGGACATTTCTGCCTCGCTTTGGGTGAATGCATTTATTAAGTAGGACAAACTGAGTTCATAATAAAGGTGCTACTTAAATAGGAATGGAACAGTTTTACGCATTCAATTGAAATAACGTTATCTGTTTGGTGGCTATCTTTATGAAGTAGTCATCGTGTCTCTTTCATTCTAACCAAAGTCTGCACGTAGAAACTAACCCGAATCCTTTCCACTGTCTAAAAATAGTACTTTGCACTGCTCTGAGGGGAGTGAACTAAGTAGTATTTTCCCGAAAAAGCGCGTTCATTGATATCTTATCGATGTTTTTTATTTGACAATGGAAAATTGACTTGGTGACTGATGTTATAATGTAGTTGATACCGACGTAGCGGCATAGAAGTCCTGACGTCTGATAAAAAAATCCAACTTAGTTAGCAGTCTTAGTCAACTTGAATCGTGGCAGCGATTAATGGGAATGAGACAAACCATTGTGTAACATTATAGGGACACATAATATTGAGCGAGCTTCATCCCTCAGTGATGCTGCCAAAAGAGGTGTATCAGAGCCTCATTATCAAGTCTTCGGGCAGCGCGACCCGCCTCATTCGTCTGCTAATGAAGAGTTTCTTCAGTCAGGAGGAGCTTGCTGCATCCTCGCTCTCTGGCGAAGGCATCTACAAGCAACGATTGCAACCCGAGATCACTGAGGCCATCAAAGGTAACTGTATTCCCTCTTAGGCAAGCAAGGGGAGGAGGCAAAGGCTGGATAAGCAAATTGTTGAATAGAGAAGCAGTCTAGTAATGACGCTTATGCGTGCTCTGCTGTTAGTAATTTTACGCACATTTGAGCGTGGAATACTTAAAAAGAAAGGTATGTATATATACACACACACGAACGGCACGTTATGGAGTTTGGAGGTGTGGCTAGCAAGTAGGTGATTATTTGTTGATCAGATTAATGCCTTTGAAGTGTAAGCGTCTCACGACATCACATGTAAAGCTATCATCATTTTGACTAATGCCTTGAGTGGTAGAGGTGCGTCACTCAGCCGACGGATATGATACAGCACGTGAGTATGTATACCACAACTACGGGTGTTTGCAAATAATGTAAGAAAATGGTGCTACTTTTATTCTATCCAATGAAAATCGGAGGTGAGTACTCTGAGAGGCGCCTTTTATGCAGAGGTGACGACTTCGTAAACGACCACTCAATGATGTAAGGTCATTATTTGCTTTAATCGTTTTCAAGACTTTAGCGCCTTGTTAATCAGATACGGAGGCAGATCGCGCTGCTTCTCTGCTTCACTGAGGTAGGCACTATTTCATAATCTGATTCCTTTACATGTCAGTCTTGGTTAGACCTGAAGCAGTCACTTGATGCAGCCAATCCATTAGTTCAGCTGCGAGGATAAATAATTATTAATTTCGCGCTTCACTCGGGTAGTAAATGTGGAGGAAATGTCACCATTCTGTGGGATGCGTGTACTGTACTACCAACTCAGTGGTAGACGCTTTTCAGCCAATGGATTCCAACTTCATTTCAATTGTTATTTGCATCTTTGATTGGCGATAGGTTCACATTTGTCAGTCCACATTGAACGCATCCACCAAATTTTGTCGAACTTTTAGTTTACGACAATTTAGTCTGACGGTTACCAATGTGGCATGCAGAGCCACTGCTGAGGCCAAAGCAAGGCATAACATCTCAAAGGATTCATCCCTAACTCCAATAGACAAGCGTCATATGTGCCTGTTAGCTTACGCAACCGCATAAAGTAAGAGCGAATTTGTTCTCCCACTGTCCTCACGTACCAAAATGTGATTTGACCAAATTTCGTGGCCGAATTTGCTAGGCAGAATGGAATTTTTCACCACCTTCATCGCGATTTTATAAAGGCCAAACGTATGTTCTGAACAATCCAAACATAAGGGTGGTCGGGATAGGAATAATTCTTAAAGACAGTTCCTAAAAGATTAACAGTTTAGTGAGACAGTTTCAAGGAAATGACAACAATTACGATTTTATCGCCTCTACAATTGCGCATTAATCATAAGGCAAACCTAAAAAATGGGTTGTCTTACTTAAGGCGTCAAAAGGAGCATCGAAACTGTCAGAGCTTGTGAAAGCGAATCTCTCCCAAATCAATCAAAATCCAATCAATCAGTCAGTTCAACAATGCGTTACAACTCATTTTAGTGGAATGGCTAAAAAATTTTTAAGTGGCACATATAAGTGATGAATGCAGCAAAGGTTGTATTTAGTGCCCACCTGAACTGCTGCTTAAGCTGCAACTCCAAAATCGGACTTGAGTAGTATGCTGCAAGAAAGAGGAGGTTTATACGGTTTTGCCTGGGTGTGTACACGTGTTTGTGTGTGCGTGTGTGTGGGCTTTGAGCTTAAGGAGGATATTTTTCCCTGATTAACTCTCAACCGAAACAATGCTCAAATCAGCTGCATCAGTAGCAGCAGCGGAAGCAACATCAACAGCATCGAAGACACCGGAGGCGGGGACCGAACAAAACCGGCTATTTGTTTCACTTAGTGCGGTGTGTGTTCGGGCTCAGACGGGACCGAACGCGACGGACTGGAGGGGAGGAGGGGGAGGGAAAAGTAGAAGGAAGGGGGTGGAAACATTTGCACACACACACACACACACACACACACGCACATCGAATAAAAAAACATGCGAGATACACGTGGTCGTATGTACGCACGCGCGCGGACTCACGCACGTGCCTGAGGTTGCAGAAATCGCGCAAATTAAGATAAACTCTCGCATGCACACACACACACACACACACGGATGCCACAAAGATGGTTAGAATAAAAGTGACTTGGCGAAACCAGCATTTTTTATCTTCAAGATCAGAAAGAGGAGGAGCATTAGTTTACATGATTCGTACCTTCCTTCGGTTTGCACATTCTGCCATAAAATAAATGAACGAAATTGCATTTTTTTTGCCATGGGTTGCCTCTGTGATAGCTCAATCGCCAAGTATTTCGTAAATATGATAAGTATACACGATCCCATCAATTTAAATTAGAGTCCCTCCTTGAGGATGCGGAGGTGGTTGGGTGATTTAACACTTTGCAAAATTGCTTACGACTCTCTAAAAAAGAGAATGACGTTTTAATGGTAGGCAATAAGCTAGACACATAAAACCCCTCACTCACTTTATAAACCCGGTCTGTTCTTATGCATGAGGAAAGCGCTTGAAAGCTGTTGGACTGAAGATGCACGAGCAGGTATGCAAATGTAAGGGCATGGCTTCTAATCCACGTACCATTTAATCCAACCGACCGACAACTTCAACGGTGCACAGAAGGTCCAAGCATTCTCAAATAACAACACATGAAGAAGGCACGGGAGGGTAGGGAGGAAAAGAGAAGAAGGGTGAGATGGTAGGTGCGCGGATGGGTGGTTGGTGGAACTTGCGTGTCTGACCAAGTGATTTAGACAGTTTTAGTGCCAATCCGTACGCATTATTACCACCCTGTGCGTGCTCGTTTGCACGCGTGTTTGTGTCTGCCTGTGCGTGAACATGGATGACGGTGAAATGGTGGAGATTAGCATCAAGTCAAACCCCATGGGCTGAGCATGCCGTCATGCAAGTTGGTCGCGAGGCTTGCACGCGAGTCCGAGATCTACCTTTTAGCACGAATTCTGTCACCTTGATTGTTAGTTCCGAAGTTGACGAATCAACACGAATGGGATAGAGTTCGTTGGGCTGGGGTAGGGCAAAAGAGAATTGAACCACTTTTTACCACTTTTTATTGAATTTGCATATGCACATACATCGAGTGAACTACCACTGAATTGAAGCCTTTCCATTATTGCCGAGCAGCAGAATAAGCGCAAAGGAATTCAGTGTTTTTTCGGCTTCAGTAAATGTTTGCAGATACTTCCAGCTTTTAACACTATCATGAAGCCATGAATACATGTGTTGTACTTCATGAGATGATGAAAAATGAAGATAAGGTGACCTAGCTTAACCGCCACGCAGAAGGATGAGTGACAAATTCCTCAAAACTTTACTTGGGTGCGTGAGCAATCAAGGTGACTGTGCGATGCTTTATTTTAGCTTTTATCCGAAAACGGCATCCCCAGCTGAAGACAGGATCTATCAATCTTTGCATGACAGATGTATGTGTGCAAGCTCGCAGAGTCGCCAATAACCAACGTAGTCGTGTGCGAGGGCCTAAGAAGCTGTCATCAAAATACTCCACTTCTTCACCACCTCCTCCACCTCCACCACCGCCGCCATCATTTTGGTCTCCTTTCAAGACCAATCCCCTCTCCCCTCCTCCTGTCACCAATTCCTCTTCAGCCAACACTGACATTAATGGCTCAAATCTGCTTCTTGGAGGTACTGCAAGCGGCAGTGGAAGTCCGCTTTGAGGAATTCAATTCTGCATCCAGGTGTGGACTAACAAACATGCGTCTATTCGACCATCGATCTCTCACCTCTGCTTATCTCCTCACCCTCCTCCCTCCTCCCATCCTCTGTTGTGGTAGTTTTTCGAGAGGGAGGAAATGACAATATCGCTACTTATGACAAGCGCACATGCAAAGGAATAAATAGACCTCATTTAGTGTCATGTGCACATTCCACAACAGTTGCTGCCGTATACAGCTGCATCCTCTGTAGTTTTCATTTCATCTCTCCTTTTTGGACTAGCATCATCCGATCCCTTGTTTGTTTTAATCACCGCACAATACTTATTTACACGCGCACGCGTAAACAAAACAAACGAAGAAAGAAAAAAAATAGCAGACGCAATAAATTAGAGGTGCAATGCAATACCAGAGAACTGAAAAATTTGTTAATACTAATTGAACCCAACCGCTACCATTACTATTCCTGTACTAATTTGTCTTTGTGCTAACAATGCCAATGTGCATGTCCATGGTTGAAGCCTCTCTTCCCTTCAAGTGGGTGGTGAAGCCATATGCCGTCCCTTCAAAGTCAGTTGAATGGACCGAAATGTTAAACAAGAGTAAGTTACAATGACGTAATGAGATGATATAAGGGACTAAGTATTTCTCATCATCCCTTTCAATCGAAGCAGATCTTCCTGTATGGTCATATCGGTGGGATTGAGTTTGGCCGCAGCTTCATATTCTGATATACCTAAAATTACGGAGCATTTTTTATTCAACTGTTTATCAGGCTATATTTTAATTACCAAGAAATTCAATGAAACCTTCTTTAAACATTTGCAAGTTGCAAAATGCAACACCCCGTCGAATGTGAGCCTTAATGCGAGAATTCAAATTTTGCTGGACGGCAGGCTTGAGCAAGTCCAGCGCCGCTGAGGCATCCTCAAGAGCACGAAAGAAATTACGTGTTTGCAGGTAACAGGCGGATCTATTGAGATGAAGGCTAAAAGGCATGTTAAGGCTTGGAGCGTAGAACGAACATGAGGGGAGCATGCATGTTTTAAAGGATACGATGGCAGCTTAGGGGCACGTTTCAGAGCTTCCGAATAGGCAAATGCTGCAGCTTCAAAATCGCCAGCTTTGAAGAGGGCACTAGCTCATAGAAAGAGGAAGGAACTTAAGTTAACTGAAACCAGATCCAACAAATCCGCTAACGCTTAAGAACATCATCCATTGGCGGAAACATTGCCTTACGCAGCTTTTTTTTGCAACCACATTGGATCTTTCTCTGATTCTGAAAGCTCGCCGTTCTCCGCTAATTTGGAGGTCAACGTTCGCCTACGCTCAGCTTGAGTTCGCAGCCACTGAAACATAATCATATGTGAGCAGTTGCTACTTATATTCATTAAGTAACAATATCGATGCGATACCTTCTCTTCATCATCTTTCATGGATTCTCTCTCCGGAGTGGGAAACACACGAGGAGTAAAGGAAACAACGATTTTGTCATTACTTCGAACAGGAACGTGAGGTTTCTCATATTCCTTAAAGATATCCTGCTTTAAAGACGTAGAAGTTGGTAGAACTAGGTTATCATCCCCATAGCTTTCCCGAGCAAATGCACGTGCCGCCTCAATTTTTGCTTCCTTCTACAGGTGATGGTGAATAGCATTAAGCTAAAGAAGACACCTCTTCGGTCTCCTGCTGCAGTTTTCTCTGACTTTCCACTAGTTCTTGCATTGCCGTAAAAGTAGCTTCCTTCTTAATCTCTTCGTGACGGTTCCGTTCCTGAGCTTCAATCTGACAAAATCAGTACAAAATAACACTGTTATTGATGACAGTAAAAAAGTGAGAAACCTGATTAACATTTGAAAGACAAAAGCGATCAAGGAAAAATTTAGTGGAAAACTTTAAAATTTTAAATCCTCGTAGCCCGACAGATATACAAATCAGTAACCTCATTGCGGCTAAATGACAAAAGACCGAAATAGGTGTTCACTTCTAACATTACCCTCATCATTGCTCTTAATGCGGCCTTTTCCCCCAACCGCTTTTCCTCGCAGTTATTCTTCTCGCGTTTTATTTCACGACTCTGTGCTTCAACAATGGCTTCTTGACGAATTCGCATGAAGGCCTCTTTATTCTCTGCAAAAAAGTATACGCGCAAATATTTACACAACTCATTTCATCTGATTCTAATTTGGGCCATTTAGATGCAGTCTCCTTTTTGAGAGTCAGGTGTGCAGCAGCACAATTTTCAAGAACAGCCTTACTGTTATCAACGTCGATGCGGTCCCAGAGTACACACTCAAACATATAGGGTTTAAAAATGATCTACAAAACAAAAAGAGTTCAACGAGGGGAGCATGACAATGTGAGGTGGCTAGCAAAATTTATTGAGGATCCAGGATAACTGAGTGCGCCGCAAAGGTTTAGAAAGTTCGTTTCAATTTCTAAATTGTACAAATTACCCTTACACGAAAACAAGAAATTTTATCCCTGTTTTACTAACCATAACATACCTTGACATATCGAGAAGACATAAAAAGGTCGCAATTTTTTGAAGGAGTACCCTTCAAGGGAACTGAAATGTAAACCTCATCGTCACTTTCGAACCACGTAAAATCAGTTACCGAAATAAACATTTGTTACCAGTGTCGCAACTATTAGATCGGTATAACAAAAAAGTCACTGCGATAAATTTTAAAGTCCTTTTAGCTAACGAAAATGTGATCCTTAAAATTTGAGCAAAAATTCTGAATTTACTATTATTTTACACGAATTTACAACACTCACAGGCCAAAATATTTACCCGGGCTAGTATTACGATTATACTACAACGAATGTGTCACTTTAAAACATTCCATTACGCAATAAAGGTGCAAAACTTAACTGAACTCTTTAAATTTAGGTAAAAAGAGCAGAAATGCACTAAAGATCAAGGCGGGGATCATAGGGGTAACCTCACATCTGGGCACTAGTTTAGAATTGACGTGTCAAAGTCCCGCTCTTCTATCGAACTCTCGCGCCAGCCGTAACAAGGTAACCGGCAATGCTGGAAAACTCCTGCAAGGCGGCTGTGTTAACATCAACTAACAAAGGGAACGTCGGCTACAACTCTCAAAAGAAGAGAGGGATATTATAATGCTTTGTTTATGTATCCACCAAATGTCTTTAGATTACTTTTAAGATTCGTCCAGTCCTTGTACGCGTAGACTAGTCTTCGGACCCTGATCAGACCTAATTAGTTTTTCTATCTAAAAATATACTTATTCAACCTCACTAGATGCCTTCTTATAGCCAGTAGGAAGTCTTGGGATGCTACAATTCATTTACAAAGTAAAAGTTTGCCAATATAGTGTATACCGATGTAGCGTCCCGAGACCTCCTGGCCGGTATAAGAAGTCAGTAAGCGCATTTGTGTACATGTATTCTGAAGACGACAGGACAAATTGACCTGAAGGCCAACCCACGTGTACAATGACCAGACAAATCATAAAGTGACCACCGAATATCAGGTAGTCCCATAAACAAAGAATTACACTGCTCCTCTCTTCTTTTGAGCGACATCCTCGCCGTTTCCCTTTAGTAAACCTCCTGCGTCACTCATCACAACATATTCGGTACTACATGAAAGCACCCACGAGCCAACCGCACCTGTCGACAGACAACACGAGACTGAGAAACCCTACCTGGTCTCCTCAGCAGTTTCAACTGGATCTGGTGTCACGTTCGGTCCAGCGACCAGATTCGGGGCCACATACACCTGTTGACCATCAATTGCTTCCACGTCTAGACGGTGGAACTCTAATCAAAAACATTTCCGACACCTAAACACGGATTTTGTTTGGAAAATTCCGACACGGAACTTCTACAGATGGTACACGGCGTTGTCGCTTCGGTTGTTAATAGCCTGTCTGTGGAGCACGGGACTAAGATGAAACCAAATGTAGACGTCAGTCTAAATCCTATCGTTCTGAAGGATTCAGGGATTTTCTGACACCAAGGTAAATGCGCCACTTTCTATTCACGCCCTCTTTTTGCCTGTATCTTCATCTATTGCACTTCGATAGAGTCAGACCTCGTCCTACGCATATATAGCTCATGATTGCCGGTACTCAACGCCAAAACGCACTTATTGATCCTGGATTTCTTCACTGAAAAGTAGAATTCAGTTGCAGCCTTTTCTGCCGGTTGGATTACAAGCTTCTTGTCGTGGAAAGAGAGGTTTTGAATTTCCGGCCAAAGGAACCCGATTTTTGGGTATCTACATGTATTGAACCAGTACATCATCCGATCGAGCCATTGCTCTTCGGCTTGTTCGTACTGCTCTCTTCCGGAAATCAGTCGATAAATTGGCAAAGTTTAGCAACACAAACGCAGGATGTTAATAAGACAGCGGTGTCTGTTGGGAAATTGATTTTCCCGAACATTATGTCGATTTTAACGAACGGCCAACGAAGAACAAAGCGCAGGGAGAGACCCCAACTCGACTAAAATTCTTAAAGAAAGTATCGGGTTCGCTTTCCGCTGCCAGTGGTTTAGCTGCCGGAGAGCTCCTGGCCGGTATAAGAAGTCGACAAGTGCTGTTGGATACATGCATTCTGAAGACGACAGGACAAATTAACCTGAGCATGGCCCGAAGGCTAGCTCACGTGTACAGGGGCCGGACAAATCCTAAAGTGACCGCTGAATGTCAGATAGTCAGATAAGCAAAGCATTAAAACCGATATTTGAGTCTTACTATAGTGAGGTTAACTTTCCGCTTCTACCCGTTTAACGCTTATATTTGGACAGAAAAGATAGAAGAAGGACTATGGTCTAATCCGTAAGCTGCCTCTCTTTGCAAAAGCACGATGGATGTTATAGTGATCGCACTCATAAAGATAGTCAAATGCAAGGCATTAAGGTGGCAATATGTGATCCGCTAACCCTCTTCGAACATGATTGTGCCTTGAGACTTAGCATCGAGCAAGAATAAACATAAGGCTCGTCCATAAGCGTAAAAGTGGATCTTTTACTGTAATGCTTTGTTTGATGTTTGCTTGTTTGCTTTGATGTTTGGCGGTCACTTGAGGACTTGTCTGGGCCCTGTACACGTGGGCTGGCCTTCGGGCCACGCTCAGGTCCCCATTTCTCCTATTTTTTTGGAATACATGTATTCAACCTCGCTTATACCTTCTACTACCCCATTTGGAGCCTCTGGACGCTACATTGACATGTTTAGCAAATCGACAGGAGCAGAGCAAAATCATTTAAAAATCATTATAAACCATTAATTTCATGAACTCTCCAATCATAATGCAACCAATAAACCAGACTTTTAACTATTTTAGTAAAGGAAATATATTAGTAATTGTAATGAATTTAACATGCAGCTTTTATGAAATGTATTTGGATAGACATCTAGCCTTCGTATGCATTGTTTTTGATTTCGGAATTTATTGCGCTTGTTGTTACAGTAATACTCAACTGTTTAGACTTTAGTACTGATAGAGCAAGCTTTAGCATGACCTTAAGCAAAACATCGGGCATGATTTCTTGATTAGGTAAAATTAACCATTTATTGTGTAAATTCAATAACAAATTCTAATTAAAACAATTTATTAATAAACGACCTTTAATTTCTAAAAATTTTAACTTTGAGTTTAAATACCTGACCAAACCATTTGTTTGTTGTCATCACATTTCCGATTTGTAAGGTTGTTGTAGACCTTTGCAGTGTTGATTTTTTAAAACGCCCAGGTGGTCTATTTATTTACATCGGAGTAATCTTTTTAAAGTTGAACTTGCTTGATCAAAAGCAATGTATCTATCATGTTTGGTCTACAATGCAAAGTCTGCACATTTATGAGTTAATGCCACAAGCTGTTACTGGTATTATTCGCCTGCGTATTAATAGATGATTGATGGAATTTCCTTTGGCATATGCCATTTTACAGGATTTCAACCCATTAATATTATGCTTTTTTATTTGTTGAATTGCGCGAGTAAATTTTGAATCACATATAGTACCTGTATGAAGTATAAGCATTATGTACCTTCTTTTTCCTGCCTAAATTATTTGTGCTTGTGCGCATTATTTTTTGTTCTTACCATAATTAAGGCCACAAATTTTTTCTCACTCTTTTTTGGTTTATATGGTCATCTACATCATTGTCCTTAAGTCACCTTAATACATTTTTTAATAGGCATTATAAATGGACAGTTTCCATGCCGGCCCAAATGCTCCGCCTCCTCTTCCAAAGAAGAACACTAGTAAGCATCAAAGATTTTGTGTATTTTCTTTTATTTATGTTGTTGAATTCTAAGTTACTTAATTATTACTAAGAATAACTTTTTATTATCTGTTATTTACGTAGGTTTTATTATTTTTTCTTGTGCTAGCTTTTTTCAACTTGCTGTAGGATTCATTTCACCAGACGATTTGATTGTTGTAGGAAATCTCCCTTCTGACCCACAACGATATCGAGGTCGAGCACAAACTTCTCCGCCGCCTTTACCCAAGCGACATTTTTCGAGTTATTGCCCTAACGTCCCCACCAAAACTAGCATCTACAAAATGGATGAAAAGATGGAGACACAACGATCGAACGTAGTGAGAGAATTGATTGAGAATGAGAAACTTTTCAATAAGCAAATGGTCACCGTCTCAGACATCATGACTAAAAACAGGGTCCCTATACCTGTGAGCCTTTCTTCCTTACTACACACATTTTCAGTCGCATTCTTTCCCATTTAAAGTGGTGCAGTGTGTAATCGTAGGAACAATTCACCAGTTGAGACAAACACTCGAACCACTTCAAATCGCTGTAGCTAAATCTATATCCTAAGGAAAGGCGGGAGTCTTTGTTTCACTTCTCGAATCGAAAATTTTACTTGGAGTAACAAAAAAGAGGAGTATTAGGATCTAATGAATGGAGGTGTCATTAGACCGGTTGCTCGTATAGTGGCTGTGATGGACTAATCGAATACGAGAGGAAGTTGAGCTATTGTAGTAGTTCGTTGCAACTGTTTTCTTTCAAACTTTGCCCAGATTTCTCCTGCGGATCTTGCAGCAGTGAAATTGAATTTGGACGACTACATTCAGACCTCCGCCCAAATGGTCAGCGCTTACACAAATGCCGTTGCAGAAGCTCCCAACGGCCAACTTGCATATGCCTGCGTTTGTACGAATGCTTTCAATTCTTTACATTCTACTGTTATTGCTTTTAACACACAAAATCTTCCTATTCTCAGCTAGACACTTTTGAAATATGACACTTAATAAAGTTGCATTCCCATTCAAAAATAACAGGTGCACGAATTGTATGAAAGTGAAGTATTATGCAAGATAATGCGACATTTGAGACTTTTAGAGCCTATTTGGTCTTCCATTTTAGCTAGCTGGAAGCCCTTCACCTTACTATCTATACATATGATTGCTTTTTAGGCAAGCATCTAGTACCAATCCTCCCTGCTTTTCGTGACGCCATGGTGGCCTACATTAAGGATTTTGACCCACAAATTCTGCAACACGTACGTTTTGAGGATCCATGATATTGCTCTTTTAAGATCTTCTAAAATGAATTCTGAATTTGTGATGAATGATGTTGGACTTTTTAGAGACCGCATTTAGTGCAATACTTCGAAAAGGCGGGGGAACTCCTTCAAAGTTTGGAGGGCGAATTTACACTTCTTTCCGATCGTCTACTTAAACCTTTTCAACGTCCCTTCCACATTACCTGCATTCTACATCGTCTGGATAAGGTAGTAATTTGGAGTCAATATGTATCTTTTTACTGGTTAACATTGGCGACACCTTCGAATTTCTAAGCCTTGAAAAATAGTGGGCGGTTGATAGGTGAGCAAGAAGCTCGTCGACTTTTGAGATCACTTGCCGCAAGCACACCGCATAGATTTGTGTAACTTATTGTGGTTTTTGGGTGCTTTAGACAAGTGTGAAGCTTGTAATTTTAGCTTGTTTGCTTCAAGAACCGAGGCAAAATTGGCTTTGAAGGTGCAGATAATTCATGCGCACTTGGATGCAGTGCAGTGAGAGGAGTGTAGTGTGCACCAACCGAGCGATCCATCTGGTTTAGGAGTATTTTTTTCTCAAGAGAAAAGATCTGACCTGTAGCAAATGGTGTGTCAGTCTCTTAGAGGTGAGAGAGTGAGAAACTCCAGTGATTTAGGAGTGAGGTGGATGAAAGGAAGTGATGGAGGGAGTTCGCATCTCAGTTTGATTGCATGGTTCAAAATGGTTGCCGTTCTATGGACGTGAATTCTTCGCTTCTTCGATCATTACGCCAACGCAAACATAGAGTTTGCATCTGGTTTAATAGGACTAAGGAAGAGTATTATGGAAGTAATGAATAAATGAAAGCTTTATGCGGATCCTTTTGGTTTCAGTATACTCCGGATTTCCATGCCGACTCTGCCTACGTGAAGCAGGCCAATATTGCTATTCAGAGGGCCTGCGATGATGCAGAAGCGACCAAACACTGGGATGCCGAATGTGAGTGTGTCGACTGCTTTGTACACGCATACTGCCTTTGTTCATGTAACTTGAGGAATCCTTTACGTGTTGGATGTGGTGAAGATATTTTGGGAAATATAATGACTTGAATGGCATCGAGTAAGTAGAGGCAAGATGGACCAAGTTAAAACGTAAAGCGTAAGGTTCCATCAGTCGGAACATTCTACTTTTCTGGACCACTACCTTTGTGATAGAGTTATTCTAAGTGTGCGAAGCAGTGGTGCGGCAGTAGATACACCAGGCAGTCTTCAATGGTTCTCTCCGATGGTCTTTTTACAAAAATTTGTAGACAGACAATGTGATGATTATCCCCACCTGTCCGCGGAGGTGACAGCTGATGATTTTGCTGCTGACAGAGCTTTTGTAAGTCCACCACTGGTTGATATACTTCAGATTATCAGGAATAGAATAATGTCACCAAGGCACAGAACTCTTCAACCGTCAGCAGGCGTTGACTTGGCCTTAGTTTCCTTATTCTACTCTTATTCTAATGCATGCCATTGTTTTTATACCATCAATCGCCACGGTGTTTGAGTGCTAAACAGGTTTAACTAGCTAGGGTAGATTAGTGATACCAACAATGTCATCAGAGAGTAAGATGGTAGTGCTCGTGTCAGTTATAATGCATGTGGTGGACATTTAACAAATCCTCTACCTGTCGCTTTTTGTTTGGCTTTAATGCAACAGGAGAATTCTCGCATGACAAACTATCGCAAGAAACGAACAAAGCTTTATAACCTAATTGACGATCTCTCCAAATGGATCAAGTTGAATAGTGAGGACCTCAAAGTAGGTGCCTTTCTACTTTGGCACTTGATTTCTCTCGAGTGCCTTGAGTAAAGTTTTTGTTGCAACAGGTTGCTTTTGTTAACTTTGACTACCCTTTTATTAGTCATTCATAGAGACTCGACGCCTCCTCATCAAGGCTGCCCACATGTTACTTCAATCCTTGGACAGCACTTTAGGTAAATTCTCACTGCTGGACTTTCATGCGTCCTCCGTACAACACCGGGTCAGTGATTCCAACCCTGTTATGGTAGGCTTCCACTTTGCAGCCGTTCAGTGTAGTAAAGCTGAAAACCTCTCCTTCATGATTAATTGTGCTAGCGAAAAGTGCTGTACATGAAAATAACAAAATAGGAAATTGCATTCCTTCGTAAAATTTATATTTCATCTTATTAGTTTGATAGAGCCACTAAGGAGGTGCTGGATCGTCTGAAGTTACTAAGCGTACCCTTGAGAAAGATGAAACCTTCCTTGAAAAAGCTAAAGTCCCGAGGCAATGACATTGCCAGAACGCGGGTGAGTCATAGGAAGGACTTTTGATGGCAAATGAATGAGTTAATGGGTGAATGACGTTTTAAGGAGGACAGAAGAAGTTGATTTGGTTGGGCGTGAGTCAATGACTTGAACAAGTCGTCAGACGTGATAGGGTGCGTGGAATAAGTAGTGTTTTTTTATGGAGAAACATTAAGACTGAAAGAACTAAACTGTGAGCATCGTAAAGGCTGATGGAGGCAAAACTAATTCCTTTCATGGCTTTTGATGCAAGAGCGAGGCGAAGTCGCCCTTCTAACCGACTTATTACACTCCTAGAGAAATAAAACCGTTAGTCAAGCGATGATTAACGCCTATCGACTGGACGAAGAAAGGGCCATGGCTCTCTCCGAGAAGATTTTAGGCAAAACTGAAAAAGCCGTTAAAGCCCTCTTCCTTCACTACCTCGCACATGTGCAAAGGGTATTCTACTTCGTTGCCATCAAAGAGAATGGCTTGGTTGAAAGATATGTGAGTCACATCCACTCATTTCTCCATTACATTGACAAGCAAAACATTCGTTCTAATCTGTTTTTGATCTTCCCCATTTTTTCTCAAAAACAAAAATCCTGATTGTTGAAAGAAAAAATCAAATAGTTGGTTTCCCGTAATTTTGATTCTGCGTCATTTATTTATTCATACTTGAAATTGTTTCACAGAGCACTTTCTTGAGTAACCTCAGAGACTCCACGATTTGATTTGTGGACTTTTGGAGTCAGGAAATTTAATTTATCAGTGCGTTTCTGTTGCTCTGAAAGGAGCCTTGGAAGTTCTCTGTAGGTTATTTTGAGTGTGTAACAAAAGAAAAAAAGCACGCTGGAATTATACGATTGCATTGCTCGTTGTGTGGCGCTTGCTGCCTCCTAGAATCAGAACTATGTCGTCACCTTTAGGTGAAGAAGCAGCTTTAATCAATGTAAATGACTAAGGAGTCACACGACTTCCATTTTAAAGTTAGTTTTTGCATCACTAAATGTCAAGGTCATTTATCGCTGTGTCTGAAGTGGAGCTTTTAAATGACGAAACGGGAGAAAGGGGTTATCCTTAAACTTAAGTTAGCAAAGTCCCAAATTCCTCCTGTTGCTCAGGGGGGCGTCAACTTGATTGTTAATCGAGTGGTTGCAATCGCTCACCATCAACTGATCGTAAATACTTTTCTCACATTTGTTGCATCACTGTCGATCCTGTCTTTGCTTCAACAATAAGCCTCCTGACAAGAATCTCATTTTTGCCTTCTTAATAAATATTCAGTATAATTTCAGCAAGTTTTATAAAAGAATCACATTGTTGCTGCATAAAGTGAGTACCTCCTTCCTTCATTGCTCATCTTAATAAATGTTGAGAAAAATGACTTAAAACCCGTAGACTGGAACGAAGGCTATGGATTTCGCTACGTAAATAGAAAGAGATGAGTTAAGAAATTGAATTCTTTGCCTGGATGGGAATGTTGATTTTCTTTTCTCCTCATAAACTTCCACTTGTTTGCACTCTCAGTGCACCACAAACACCTGCACCGTCTTGCACTGCAAATGTGGAGCGATTGGGTTTCTAATCAAGAACATCCAAATTGGCTCACTTGTCGAGGACTCAGCCGAGCTCTTCGTGATGTCGAGTCATGCATTCGCAGGGCGATCGCGCTCCACTATGCAATTGCGATTCTCGTGGCATACACATTAAGGAGCACTTCTAGAGTCTCATGTTAAGGAAATCGTCATCGCACAACAAAAGTGCTGCTCTAATTTGTTGCATTCTTTTCTTAAAGAGTAGCGCTCCGGTTCGACTTCTTGAAGCCGATGTGAGTAAGCAGGTTGAGATCGTTTTGACGATATGGGAGAGGCAGATCAACATGATGCAAAGCCCATATTCTCAACCCATCCTTCAGACGGCCCCATGCAGAGCGCGGATTGTCCATCTTTATTCAGACAGCCAAACACCTTCCAACCTACAAGTCAACGATATTGTGTACGTGTTTCAATGGACCGACACTATGGGAAATTCGGAGTGGGCAGGGGTGCGTGACGCAACAGGACGACAGTTCTTCTACCCCTCGGCTTGGTTACAGCGTCTTATCTGAATTTTTTAACCACTTCATTCGTTTTTGTCAATCGAAAAGCTTTTTATTCTTTTAATATATATGTGTGTATGTGTGCGTGTGTGTGTGTGTGTAAAAATTAAATTCTGTAACACCAACACTTATAAGCCTAAAGACATTCCTTTGGGAGATGTGAGGACGCGTCCGATGTTTCACCAGTGTTAGTCGTTCTTGGTGGAAATTAATAATTTGGTAGACAAAAGCGAGTGCACTTAAAGTAGGATGCAGATCGTAAGCGACGCCAAACAGACACCGCTAGGAAAATTAACTTTTATTGATCCCTCGTTTGAAGACTGTCCACAAAATTCAAGCACTGCGTGGTTCATAGGTCACCAACTCCTTAGAACAAAAAAATGGCACCAAAGAGATATTTTAAGGATGCCAAAGATCTTAATATGACAGAAGATGACTTTGACTTAACCCTGTCCCTCCTACTCGACGCCTGTCAATCACGACTGGACATAAAGTACCATCATGATCCTTTATCAGTACGCTTCTACAATCAATACTTCAACAAGTATCTGGTACGTCTGTACTACTTCTTTATGACTGCAAATCTCTTCACCATACTTCTGGAAGAGCCAGCAGCCATTTTATTCCACGGTAAACCGCTGCCTTACTACATCCCCCTTATCGTCAATGTCATTTGTGAGCTCTACTTCTTCTTCCGTTGGCTGCACATTTTTGTTGTGGCTGACTTCGACTTGATGAAGAAAAACATTTCCTTTTGGATGTCAGCAGTTTTTATTGCCCTCATGACTGCGGACGACATCACCTATGTAACTCAACACTGTTTAAAGTACAAAAATCCCATTCGTTGGTCTCGCCTCTTGAGACCGGCCCTTCTGCTTACCTTTCCTGAAAATAAGCGCATCAGAGGAGCTTTTGAGAATATCCGATGCACCGCCCAGGATGTGCTTTCCGTCTTCGCCATGTTTATGGCAAGTCTGCTCTTCGTGAGTGTGGTGACCCTGAAGGTGATCGACGCCAAAGACATGATCAACCTGGACAATGAGCCCTACATTCCCAACTTCGGTGAGATTGCTTGGGAGCTCTACGTCCTCACCACAACTTCCAACTCGCCGGATATAATTATCCCGGCGTACGAAAAACACAACGCCTACATAGCCATCTACGTGTGGGTGTGTGTTGCATGCAATTGGCTTTTCATGGGCATTCTAACAGCCTCTGTTTACAACGCCTACAAGGGCCATTTAGGCGAGAATGTGCTCAAGAGTTTGGTGAAACGAAAGAACATCCTTGATAGGGCATTTCACATACTACAGTCGGTGGAGACTGAGGGAAGAGTGTCAAGGGAGATTTTTATAGCTCTCCTTCAACGAGTTACTCCAAACAGGTCTGAGAACTCTATTGCTCTCATTTATGATATCCTCGATGGCAGAAAGGCTGGCATCAGTCAGGTGGAGTTTGCTCGCCTCACCGAATACATGCAATTAAATTTCAGAGAAGTAGTTATTAGCAGAAAAAACTTTGAACGCTACCTACCACACTTTTACAAAATTTACGTGTCCAAGTGGTACCAGGTGATCGTGAAGGTCATCCGAAGCAAGCCGTCGCAGATCTTCTTTGACATAATGGTCATCCTGAATGGAATCACTCTAGTAGTTGCAGATGATACACCCTACGAGGACTACTTTGAATGGACTTTTACAGCAATATTCGCTTTGGAAATCCTTCTTAAATACCTCGCTTCAGGAGGTGTGAACTTCTTCCAAGAAAAGTGGAACATATTTGACATGATTATTGTGATTGGTGCATTTGCAGGTCAATTTATTAATCTCCTCCTGCAATGGTCGAGTATTGAGGCACCCTCGTCACTGAGTCAGGCCTTCCTTTTGCTCCGTCTTTTTCGCCTCTTAAAAATAATTGGTCAGGTGGCCATATTTCGATGCATTATCAACTGTATCATCATCATTCTGCCGTCCTTGTGTGCCTACGCAGCCATCCTACTCATACTCTTCTACATATTCACCTGTGTTGGAATGGAGCTATTTAATGGACTGCTGGTGATACCAAGTGGATACAATTACACTGCAGATGATGCCTGCAAAAACAGCAAACTTGTTGGAAGCTCATTCCTCCAGTTACACTACTGCGATCTTCACTTCAATGATGCAGCATCCAGCTTTGTGACATTGTTCGTACTCAGTGTGGGCAACAATTGGCACATTATCACAGACGGATTCACACGCATCACAAATAAGTCATACCGTCTCTACTTCCTCTGTGTGCACTGGATGTGCGTGCTTTTGGTGTTAAACATTGTCTTGGCCTTCATTATCGAGGCCTTCTTGATTGAGTACGATCCACAAGAAAGTCGTTTTGAAGAGTTTATTCGAGAGCGTATGAGAGAGCTCGGCGTGGACGCAGAGACAGAATTGGAGAAGCGTGGACTGGAGCGTTACCGAGATAGCGACTTCTATGTGACACGAGAGCAACTTGATGCAGCATTTCCTCCTCACCTCCCTGACATACCATTCTCTGCTTTCTTCTTCATTCCTGATAGTGCGTCTATTGAATTGCTGATGTTCCGCATGTTCGAAACTGAGATCGAGGCTATTGCCACAAACTATCACGAAAGACGGACAATTCGTGTGAATGCGCCAAACCTTTAGTTCCAGCTATGGACGCGGATCAAAGGAGGGTGCGATTCTCACAAAGAACACTCCCTCTGTGATAAAGGAAGTTCGAGTCCACTGAGAGTTGCCTGCATCTACTCATTGAGCTTTTCTACGTGCATAGCTTGTTACGATTAATTAATGTAGTGTAGCGTCATCCACTTTGCTTTCAAACGTCGTTTCGACAACCAATTTACGACCCTCACTGTATAATATTGCTAAAGCAAGACGTGAGACGAGGAGATGAGTAGTGACAGAAAGTAAGCGCTAGGCTGTGGTGAGGCCACTCCCTCCACCCATCTCCGCTTACCCTCCAAAGATATGGCGATGCCTGAGTACTTCTGAATCACTTTGTATACAATAAAGCTACAACCGAAAGTGCATTACAGGAAAAACGAGAATGCAGCCTTCTAGCTCAAACATCTTTTAGTATATTGCAATTCCATTTACATTCACGGAAACACACTGCCTGTCAATCATAGCATCAACATTGGTTCACAAAGTTAAGAAGGTAGTGTAGGCATCCAAAAGTCAAGGTCATCCTACATCGACTTTGCTATCGTTGTAGCACGACTCGGTGCGATCGCGCGCGTCATGTATGCAATGCAAGCCTCAATCTACTCTCACTCGCCATTATTATGTTAAGCAACTCACAGCAATGTTCAAAGCTATCACGACGTGATAGCAAGGCAATCCCTGCTTTTGACACGATAAGGTAACAGCACAATTCAAGCAGAATTTTATTGTTTGACGGACAAAATCGAGGTATAGAATACGTATTGCAACAGTGACTTAAAAATCACCGAAGATAATCGAGTTTACGTGAGTACTGAGAGATCAGGGAAGTGGTTATGGAGAGGCAGTTGTAAATACACGATGAAACCTAGTTCTTTTTACTCAAAGTATCCTCCAACATGGTTAACCGCTGCTCCAAAAGCGACACCGTCTAAAAGTGGGAATTAAACGAATAGAAGTGGCATCGCAGTCTCTTCTGATCACAGTGCTTACCATTTCGTAGCTGAACATCATGGCACTAACCTGGTGCCTTGCATCAACAATGGCTGCAGAATGGAGACGCATTAGAATGAACAAGACAAGAGAACGGAAACCTTGATGGCAAAGTAACGTGCATAAATAATAGAAGAAAATCGAACTAAGCAACTGTAGCCAAATGTTCAAAGCTGGCGTCGTGTGCTTTTCGGCAGTGTTTTACGACGGACCTAGATAAATTGGGTTAGAGGTTTTCACGAGAAGCGTTCAAGTCAAGACAAGGCACTCGGTTTTATGAGAAATGACAATCGAAAATCAACGCCCTGAACTAGTACAATTCGAGCGGACTGCATGTGCACCATCACTAGAGTTTGAGTGCGCACGAAAAAAGGCAATAGTTATGAGTGAGGGCGTAACACCCACAGGCACTTATGACTCGATTATAGCACGGTTATGTGAGGCTGCGCGAGTCAGTAAAAAAGTGCCCCGTTGAGCAGTAAAAACGCTCCAAGGAGTGGCTATGATATGCCTACCAGGAATGAATACAGTCGCGATGAGGACGGCCTGATCATGAAGAATCACTAAATAACTATTCGTAAAATCACCCAAACAATGAAAAAATCTGACTCAAAGTAGAATTCAAGAGAGATAACCCATTATGTGAAGACTCAGGTGCATCAACTTTGACAGAGGAATTCAAATTAGGTTTCTATAACGACGGGCAATCTGTTCCTTTTTCGTAGACTTTAAAAGCCCTACTTGCGCAAAGACAATCCTCAAACAATTATCTAACACTGGAGTAAGCACTAAATGACCATTCCAGTTTCAATAACCTATTCTGAGGGACAAGCATTGAATACGTAAAACTTTAAGGTACTAAAATTTGGGATATGTGATTTCGGTAGGGAATCATGTCGCGAACATAGGATCCATTGAAATTCTGAAGCTAATTAGACAACTGAAAAACCATCCATTAAACCGAACAAATAAGTTACGAAAAAAACGTAGAATTTGATCGCTTGTGTTGCAAATAAAAATGTGCCGGAAGGATGTCAGTGAATCATCAACAATGTGCAGGAGAAAAGCTGGAAAAACAAGGCCACATGTGATTAATTGTAGAAATACCTGTGTGAGGATGTTCAACTGAGCCGTCATCGTGGCAAGCGTGGAAGCAATGCACTCAGGAACCGATGAAACCTTCTCCTTTATTGAGATATGAGCTGACCTTTCAGCAGGAGTAGCATCTCCACCCTCCTGTTGTTGGTTAGCCTAAAATGAAAATGATACCAAGATGTCCAAACGTCAATGTGTGACAAACATGCTGTGCGCCCAAAAGTTAGAATCTTTGCGTCTTCACGGTAGAAGATGATTTGCTTTATAAAAGAGCCGGAAAGGGTGTTTAACTTATAGCTTAAAAAGAAAATTCGAAATAATTTTATTTCAACAACCTAAGAAAAGGTATTAGGGGGTCCAATGGGAAAGAACTTGCTGAAGTCGTCGTTGTGAAGGCCCTGTATCATCAGCTAAACAGATCTGGCTAGTCTGGTTCCTCAAAGACAAAGTAATCAGGACTTTTCACGCAAAATGTCACAGAGTTTGGTAAAACATGTACAAAAGCAGTGTAAATTGTGAAGAGACCGCAGCATGCACTACTAAAAACTAAGAAATAACGCCCTTAAAAAGACCTTGAGTTCCCTCAAAAACTGTATCCGCTTGTGTTTTAGTATTAAAAAAATAAGGAAGCCATTTTATAAAGATCACTCCATTCCTTCACGACCTTATGGACCAAACGCAATTATGCACTTCTTAGAAGCCGAACTGTTGCAAGTTTAGCCAGTGAATTTGAAATAAGTCGAAGAAGCCTAGCGAAAGTTTCCTTAAAAGCAGAAGTCATTGGGCAAAGAGGTTAAAAGGCAATAGAATGCAGTTATTCTGCCTAGTCCGCAATGGCCGTACAAAATTTGTTTTATGTTATAAAACATCCCCTGAGTGTGTTCAAAAGATGAAGCTTTGTTTTCCATTTAAATGACTTAATTTATGATTCTGAATATTCTCTGACATCGTTTAGTTACATCATATGCTGTCGACTGCTTTAGCATAAAACAGACTCGATATTTCGTAAATTTGACGAAATAAAAGTTGACGCACGTGAAGAATTTATTTCGCAACATAGTTCGCATTAAATAACCTAACAAAAAAGGTGACCAAACCCATTCTTTACTTAACAAGGATCCTTCACAACGAAAAGAGATTAATCAACGGTACCCGAATTAGGGTAATTTTGTGCAATTCGCATAGGAGCCAGCGTAAGACCTCACTAATAACTATTGGCTTAACAACTTATTATTTATTTGGAATCGAAACAAAACTGACCCTCGAAGAAAGCGGAAGAGAAGAGGGATTCTTAGAAGGCTCCGTTGCAGTGAAGGAGGAGGACTCAACGTCAGCCGCCGTTTTTATACAGCCATCCATATGGCGCTGACTGTTCGAAGCTAAGATTTGATCAGTATTTGAATTAGCGTTCCCATCATCGTCCGTGTAACGTTTGCTACAGTAGATGTCTGGCAGAGGCCACCGCTCCGTCAAAATGGACTTTCGTACATGTGTTGATGCCATTACGGAGTCACGAGCACAGTTAGGGGATTCAGAAAATTCAGCAAAGTTCGTCTTCCAAATGAACACCTGATGAGATGTACAACCCTACTTAAATTTTTTTAGTAAAAATAATATTGGAAGAGAATGGAGTAGAGTACCTGTTCGTCGGCACCACCAGACGCAAAGAGTTCACCTGAGATGGAGAAAGCTGCAGCACTGATCGCACCCTTATGGCCACTAAGAGTGTAAATAGGACGCCCCTCTAGGAGGTCAAATATTTTCATCGTACAGTCTTCCGAGGCAGACAGAAGATAGATTCCGGACGGGTGAAAACTGACCTTTTGAACCGACGCCGTATGATCTAATACCGTAAGAAAACAATTAGCGCTCACCACCGTATTGCTGAATTAGACGTCTCATACGCAGATCCCACACTTTTACGGTTGTATTAGAGCTGCCAGAAGCAAAACAGGTTTCACTAGGATGGAAGTCAATGTGATTCGCGAACCCTCCTGTGTCAGAAAAAACATTAACACATTCCTGATTTCGACAGTCCCAAAGACGGATGGTCTTATCGTCAGAACTAGAAAGAATGAGCCGCGAATCTGGAGAAAACCTATTCAGTTAAGATGGTTTCCAGATAGTTAGCCTCACTTGCAGCACCGAACCCAGTTTACGTGTTTATTCAAACTGTAGGCAAATTTCTGCCGTTGAACGTTCCAAACTTTCACTGACTTGTCAGAAGAGGCCGTACAAAGACGCGTACCATCTTGCGACAAATCAACCCATCTAACTGCCGCAGTATGGGCACGGAACGTAATTGAATCGCCTTTTCTAGCGTACAAATGTGGACGAAGAACAAGTACTTACATGTTCGGGATCCACAATTTAACAGTACAATCCTTGGAGGCCGATGCAATAATTTCGCCACTTCTAGAAAAACAAGCACAGAGTACTGCACTCTCGTGTCCAGTGAATCGGTAAGCACGCGTCTGTGGCTTGATATTCCATAGCATCAAAGTATTGTCAAGGGACGACGATACTGATGGAGGTTAGAAATTATGTAACGAACCCAACTGCCGACCGTTAGGACTAAAGCTCACATTAGTAACTGCCCCTCGATGGCCTTTAAGATGTAGTTCCAAAGATGGGTCAGTCTACAGTAATAAAAACACTGAATCTACGCTATACCATCCAGCAGACAACTCAAGGAGCCCAAGTCCGTCTTTTCATAAGCCGCGGCGTTGTACAAACTACACACATCATTGAATCAAATAAATAACTAACTGTTTATGCAAAGTATATATAAAACATGCAAAAAAACCTTTTTAAATTTGAAATATAGGTTATAAATTTTGTTACGTGCAAGTCAAAATCTTGGTGATAGCATGAATATTTTCTTGCAGTCGAAAAACATCACCAGGCTCCCTGTATGGAAAATAGGCACACTTTAACACTCCAGTTATTGTATATTGCACTAAATTTAGTGACAGAGGAAAAATGAACAAATTGCAGCGTCAAGAATTATAGTAGACGTTCCTGCACTTTTGTCTAGAAAGCTATTCGTTGCGCGGATATAGTGTTTTTCGAAGTTAACTAACTGATTTTATTAAAAAACGCGGCTGTTACGTGAATTGTGTATAAAAGTTCTTCGAATAGCTACGATTAGTCCTTTGCGGTTTAAATAAAAAGATATCGTCACCTTAACTTTAGATGCCCCTCATTCATTCTTATTTAATATTTCTAATCCCTTAACGCAATACTTTGTGGTCTGTAGCAGCGCCGTGGCTTTTTCGAATTCGAATCCTAAGCTATATAAAGTTCTCGCATTTCCAGTTCGTTAATTGGCTGGGAAGTAGGTAGTCTGTGTTGCTTGGGCCTTTCTTTTGCGTGCGTCATATGATGTCTTCTTTGAATGACTTAGATGAATGTAACATCGGTTACTAAATCGTGCTATTTACCTCCTTTAGTTCATTTATTGTTATTTATTCTGGCCTTCATTTTGCTAACGCTATTTCCTTTGTGGTTTTTGTGAAGTCGGAGTATTGCTGGAGAAATTGTGGCACGCTTTGTTCTGTGATGTCGGTCCTGTGAATTCCTTTATTTGCTGTTGTTTTAAGCTTCGGACCCGCTTTTTTGTGCCTTAGAATTTCCAAGAAAAGTTCCTCAATGCTGATTTGCATCATGCGGGTAGTTCTGCAATTTTTAACTTTGCTCTTTTGGTGCAAACGGCTATTCTACTTGTTATTAATCTGTATAGACTTAACAATATCATCCATTGAGTTTATCACTTCGGCGTTGCATATAAAAGAAATTTTGCCGAGTAGCTTTTATGATATTGGACATTGTTTATGCAAGATAGTCTTTATGGTAGCATTTTAATTATATTGCCTCTGTCATTTAAGTGTGTCAACGATATGCTGGCAATTTTATTTTTAATTAAATTCTGAAGCTCCGTTTGGCGTTTTTGTAGCGGAGTGCAGGGTCACGCAGAGCTCGTGTGATGTTTCTGGGCTTTCCAGCGCTTTTTGTGCGTTTAAATTTGCATACCTTTTTACTCACTAATACATGGCGTATCGTTTTGTTGCATTCTTCTTTCTGTTATCCACTAAAAGAAGTGCTGTCGTGGGTCATGTGACTTTTTGGTCCTGCAAGAATATTACTTGATTTCCGCTTTAGCATAGGGAAACCGCATTTAAAAAGTTCCTCTCATTCGCACTTAGCGTTCACTGCATTCTTACTTGTTAGTCTCCTTTAAATTTTATTCATTTATTGAAGGAATAGCCATCACCAGTTGCAAAATGAAAGTGTTTGCTAATCAAGTTTCTCACGCACTTTGTTATGCTCCTCTTCCAATGATCTATTTATACCACTGGAAGTCTATTGTTGGCGTTTATTTCTCTATGAAAAGGAGAATTGCATTCATTTGTAAAACTAAAAACAGGTTCTTCTTTGTCCCTTAATTCCGTTTCTCATCCACAACTTTCTTAGTCTAGAGCCCTAACGAAGGTCCTTAATACGGTGAACGTTACTTATATCTTGTGTTAGAATGGATATGCATTTCAGAATTTGGGGTGTTGTGTTCTTTCTCTGATAACACCAATAATGTCACATTCGGCAGAGCACAGGCACTTGGGGTGGTCATACATTTGCCTCTGGTTTTGTGATTACGCTGATGCAAGGAGTCACTTGGTTGTCGTGAAATGTCTAACAACTTCAGCATTTCCTCTAGTAAATTGTTGGCTGAAAAGGGAATATGTTCAAGTTTGTAACTTCCATTTTTATCCCCGATAGCTGTGCCCGACTCTGGATAATAGTCACTTGGGTCCAAATGGAATGATGGCAGTCATGCTTGTCTAGGAGTAGACAACTTGTGCTCTTTTCCTCTTTTACAATTCATTAATTTCTTAATTTCCCACTGGCATTATTTAATGCTCAACTTTCAGCTAGCAAGGTTTTTGCTTCCATTGAGAAACCACAAATCCAGTTATATCTTTTCCGTTGATGCCATCGACAATTTCATGTGTTAGCCTGTGGGTATAACTGTCTTACCAGCTGAGCTTTCAAGTCTCTTCGTTTTCTAGTCCCATTAAAGTGGTACTGTAGGTTGAATTCACTTTGTTTGTAAAGCAGTACCACGTGGGTGATTTTTTAAGAGTTGTACTGAGAGTGGTTGATTGCTTTGTAGTATAAAACGGAATTATGCCCTTAAGGGCAGTACCGCCTCCTCTACTGTGCCACTTGACCTACATGGCGTCCCAAACGAGTGATGTAGTATGTTCCACCGATCCCTTCACCCGCCTGCCCAATGAAATACTTCTCCATATCTTCTCCTTCCTCGAAGCTGACCAGTTACTGCTATGTGGTCAAGTGTGTCGACGCTGGCGCCGCCTCTCTCTTGATTGGCACCTCTGGCAGGTGAAGCTTTTCGAGACGCGTTGGTGCACTATTGTCTGTCCTGAACCTCCGCCGCGTGATATGCCCATTCCCCTTCCAAAAAGTCCGCTTCATGATCCATCATCTATCCATCCGCGTACTGTCTACCGCTTTCTCAGCCAGTACATTCCCAAATGTGACGGCGGTGATAGCGGCGAAATCGATGACACTCCTTCCCCTCCATCTACTCCCTCCACTGTCCCCGAAGCTCACACCTCCCACCTCTCTGCATTCGTCCATTCCATAATATATCACGTCCGAGGTCTCCTTCCTTCTCGCACCTCCAGTCCCTCTAACACCTCAACCGCAGGAGTCTCTCCTGACCGGCCAAGATTTGCACTTTTCGGTCCAGGACTGGATCACCGATGGACAAGTCGGCTATTCTGGAAGATGGTAGACACGCGCACTCGCTCGTTTGAGCCCATCAATGTCTTTACTGGTCACATGGGCTTCGAGTCGGGCATCACATTACGTCTTTTTGCCCAAGCACAGCACGCTGTGATGGACGAGTCTACACGATGCTCCAGCTCCACTAGGAAGACCGCCAGTGACTCTCCAAAGCCCTCGATCACATCCACGACGAATCGCTTCATATCCTGCCTCTCCGCACCTACTGCACCTCCGATTCGGTCCTCTGAGGCGGAGAGTAATTCCCCACCACTAGTTCATCACTCCACTGAGTACCCCTGCCAGTGTCATCAACATGAGGACTTCACTTTTGACCTCTCCTATCTGTACTCTCTACCACCACATTTGAAGCATGTCTTCAATGACCAGTATACTCGTCTGCGTGTTAGTAGGCTCTTCTTCCATCAGCAAGACGTGGAGCTTGGGGAAGAGAGGGATGTTGCATCGGAGACGTTGCTTTCGCACCTTGAGGTGACCCATGAGATGCGGGAGATTTGTCGCAAGTTGGATGGCCTCATCTACGCCATCGATGCAAGGGAGTCTGCGGAGCAATTGACTCTCCTCTATCACGAGTTGAGGGCTGTGTTGGGCGCCTTTCCTGAGCGCACGGGTCGACGCATCCCTCTGGTAGTTCTCTACATCATGCCCAAGGAGGACATTAAGTTCCAAAAGACTACAGTGGCATCAACATCTGCTGCGCCGCCTCCGATGGTGTCAAAACCAGAACTTGTGAATCGAGACAGCTACAGTGGGGCGGAATACACAGCAGCATGGCATGATTCCATCCTTTTGGTCATTTCAGCCTTGAAGCTCTTCGAGTTGCCAAACCCTTGGAGGCTCCAAAAATGTTCAAGCAATGATATCAAGACTCTTATTCAGAGCCTCATGTGGTTAAATTTAAAGTACCTTCGTCCTGTGGCTGTGTCAGTGACAGAGGGATAGTCATGACGCTTCTTCTGTGAAGGTGACTTCGACATGTCTTTCACGAAAAAGTGTTGATGGAAAACAACAGTGAAGAGTTAATAGCTTTGAAATTGTTCATTCCATACTGCACTCACTCAATGCTTTCCCATTTACTATCCTCCTTTCGATTGTGGTCACATCCAACAACGATATTTTATGTTGCTTTGTTTTTTAAAAATGTGCTCACTCTACCGCTCTTGCACGCACAGAAATCGTCATAGAGAAAGAGATAGTGTTAATGACATGCGTTTCTGATATCCATCTGACAACCAACATATCGCTTTCAGGAGACCTTTCACCCCTTTCGTCTTTGTCCTGTTTCTTCTCTCACTTGAGACAAAGATGTGTAACTCCTCCTACCAGATTTGAATTAAACTTTTATTTAGTCCTTGCCACTTCTTTGCTTATTTGTACTCCTCCAGCCTTCCTCATCGACCACTTTGGTGGTAGCCAATGGGCGTGGTCCCAAGTGATGGAAATACCATCGCCTTTCAACTTCTAGTCTTGTCCACTAAAGTAGATCAGTTTTTACGTGCTTTCCGGCACCAGCATTCTCACATAACACAATGTTCGTTTATGGTCGCTTCTGTCGCTTTCATCTTCTATGCGATCGTTTACTCCATGACAGTCGACTTAGGCAGTTCAGCATAACGCAACTAAGGTAGAACCGATGGATGGAGGTAAAGTGCTACTCTCGCTCTCCTACCTCTAAATAAAGTACAAATAATCTCATTGGTTAATTTTGTCATTTGAGGCGTGGCGTTTTGAGCACTCATGTAGGAGCAATCTTTTCAATATCCAATTATTAATGGCTCTGAAAGTGGAGCGGATGGTTTCCGAGTTTCTAAATTTGTGGAGCTGGGTACCGCCATTGCTTAAACAGATTTGGCTTTTTGTCAGGCGGACAACTTTCACAGGGAGACTACCCTGGCAGCATGCCTTATTCCTAGGTGTGCTTTACGTTCTGACAGAATCAGACCATGTCATTTGTGCCCGTAGTAGGTCGCAAAGCCAAAGTTCTCCATTGACATTTCGACTCTCATCCTTGGCCTACCATGGCCATGTCACAACTAATCGACCAGTCGTGCACACACAATCAAACTCAATGTTTCCTTACTGTGACAAAATCCTGTGAAGTGCAATAGTCTTGAGTAATCGATGCTTCACCAAATCCGTCGTCTATGCGACGCCCACACTTCAGTCTGCATGAGTAAAGCTATCTTAGGCGAAAGTGTGGCGGGGAGGGGAGAGAGGCTCTTGTAACCATGCTTCATGATGCGCTTCTATGGGCCGTTGAACGCAGTTACAGTGAAGTAGCCAAAGGTCACAATCACTTCCAATTATTAGTTATTCATCTAACCTCGGCTGCTATCTTATCAGCATTTTCAAGAGTAAACCTACTCTTGTGTGGAAGTCTCTTTTTGGATATAGGAACGCTCTAATGTATGTTCTCAACATTTTTCAAGCCACTAAGCCCCATTGACCCATACAAAATAGACGCAAGCTACATGTTTGGGCGATTTGAAGTTTTCAGTGGCCCGCCGTTTTCTAGTAACGACGTGTCACCAACTATTTTGTTAGTCAATCTCGAATCCCAATTATTTAAAGGGGAACTAAAACTGTTGCTATTATGTACCTTCATCCAATTTTCTCCACGAGCCCAACTTCCTACCATTCTAGGATGCCTTGAAACCCGCGCCCTCCCTCCTTGGCTCTGGTTGGTCAGTCTTCCGAACAGGCAGACTAGGTGTTCTTCTAACTTACGTAAGGCCAAGGTCGTTCAAAAGAAGATGAATGAACGAGAACGAAGCTTCTTAGCGCCATCCGAAATCCAGTGTCGGTGATGTTTTCACATGCCAAACGTCGGTTCGACATTGTTTTGGCAAACAGATCTCCGTGCTAACCTAACCCATGGGTAATTCTTGGTACGATCCGATTGGTAGGAATTCGTGGGCTAGACTCATCTTATTCGACGGTAGGAGTCATTCGATGGTGGTTCTATCCAATCATGTGTTCATTTTACAATCGCAACCTGTCTAATTGGTACTGATAATTTCTTTATTGGGAAGGCTGCCGTAGTGGCGGCTGTCGAAAACGGACGAAAAATCTAAATCGATTTCGTCATTATTCTATTCGTGGAATTGTCCTAGGCGCGAATTTGTGTGCTAATTCTGTTTTCCAAGTTAAATATAGGAACCAGGGCGTCGCATATGCGTGACTTTGTTGACCGAATTTTGAAGTAATAGAGAGGTTAACACTTCCTCCGCTTAAAATAGCAAGATGCCTCCGTCAGCTAACTGTCTGCCAATTCTACGTGCTGCTCCAGCTCTAAAATATGCAGTCCGGCTGACCATTAAAAGGAGAGCTATAAATCATCATCTCCTTCCTTCATTATGTTGCATGTAGAAGAGTCACGGTGTCGGTAACTAGGACAGACACAGAGTAACAATTAAAAAGGAGCAAATTTAGCAGCAACTATTTCACTTCCTTCTGCCGTTTCTCCCTCCTTCCAAATGCTTCGAACACTTTTGTTTGCATCACCGAGGAAAGGGACGGAAGCCACATTTATACTTCCTTTCCAGCGACCTAAGATTGACACTTTAGAAGAAGATTGGCTGGGTTCTCTGGTTGTTATTCGGTAAGATTGAGCTACGAGGTAAGCTTCGTCAACATTTTTAACTTCGGTGCTTAGAATACTTTACGATTTCTAGCCGAGCAACAACTTGAGCATACGTTAAGGTGAGAAAAAGTTTCCTTTTTGGAAAAAAGGCTAAAGTTAGGACTTTTATGACCCAATTATCCACTGAGGTCATAAAACCTTGCTAGTGGGAAAGAACAGTTAGTATTAATTCACGGAAGTACTTGATGATTGTAGGCAGGTCGGAAAAAATTTGCGTCGAAATTGAATACAAATTGTGGGAACTAAAGGGGCTTTTCTTAAAATTGGCCATCAAGCAGTTTATTAAATCACCAAATGGTCTTTTCGGGTTCCATTTCTAGAACCTCCTTCGTCACGACCTTGCTTGAACCATCAAAAGTAGTTGATGAATATTGTGGACTTCACTGAGTTAAAGAGTTTCTTCTCCTTGAACTGCATTGGGGAAGGAGGCTGAAAGGTGTTTTGCGACCAGTCATTTTCATGTGTTATCACCATGGCACTAATGCTATCTATTTCGGCTTGCACATAACTTTGTTCGCCTTTTAACGAGGTCCCACTGCATACACGTCTTCACTTTAGCTTTCGATGCCGTAGGGATGACATCTGTTCATTTAGCCAACTCAGACGTCTCACTTAAACACGTATTTACAATATTGCAGTCTAATGCCACTCTACTTGTTCACTGGGATTTCGCACGTCATATGGGCTGAGTGCTTACAGACTTATCTCGCCGCTTGATACCCATTTTCTGATTTTACGGTTACTTAATTGTCCCTTGTACTGTACTACTCCAAGCCATTTAGCAGGGAAACACCTACTGGGCTGGAGAGAACATAAGAACCAGCCCAGTGCCCAGGTCGGTGAGTGCATCAGTCACGAGGATTGAATAGTTCACATTATGTTTATTTACGACTCGAGTATTTCATTCTTAATTTGGTTAAAAAGGTATTCATGTTTCATAGTTTGCCAAGTAAAAAGGAATCGGAAGCATTCCTTTAGTGTCTCACTACCTGAGAAGACAGCTAGCGCCACACGCTGCTAGAGGTAACCGCTGGAGGAGTAGTAACAGCAATCTCATTCAGTGTCTTTCAACTCTCCAGCTTCCTTCATAGCCATCAGCATCTATGGTAATAGTAAAATGTAGCGAGCATCTGACAATGAATTAGGAGTTTGTAGAAATTTGGTCCTGTAGATTTGAAAGCAACCACCCGTCTCTCCTAGATTACATCAAATTACGCTGCTCATAAGCACAAATTCCATGCTTGTGAAGAGTGCTGTCAGGCACCACCTCCCATAAATGGAAGGTATGAAGGTGGCACAGTCATGATTCATCACAATGATGTCGTTTGCTCCTTTGGCTCAGGAGCTGACACGCACAAATCAACCACGCGATTTGACATTGCTCAACGCATTTCAACTTATCTGCACAAGTATGATCCCCACCTCTCAAAAAAAAACATCAATTTTGACAGAAGATTAGTCAAAATCAATAAGCGAAGAAAAAACACAATTCAAATTAAATATTATTTGGCTTTGCAGTGTGAAATGAAGTGCTGGTCACGATTTTAAAATTCTTAAACAGTCCTTGTGGTAAAACAACGCGTTCATGAAAGCAAAAGGACAAAAGTTCGCGTAATAAATCAAAATAACAATTTTGAACAGAGCGCACAAGTGCTGAGCTGGTGCCTCACGAGAGGGAAGAATTGCTTTTTCCTTCCTTGCTCCACAAGGACAAGACAATTACTTGCTCTCACAAAGTGCTTTGAGGAAAACCTTTCAACTCAGACCTCCTTGAAAGGAAAATACCATTGAAATCAGGCAAAACATTTTACCTCTAGTGAGTTTGTATCCGGTAAACTATATTAAGGATAGAACTAAATAACACCTGCAATTGTTTTGCGGATAAAGATCCAAACAAATAATGGCTGAATTACGGTACAGATCTTGTAGTTAATAGGAACACAGTGTGCCCTATTTTCCTTTTGAATTTACAATTTCACCTGCAAACCTCGTACTAGTTTGGTGTTTTTCATTAATCTCCTATTCTTTTGATCAATGGTTGCATGCTTTAATTATCCGAGCCTTTCCAATTAGCGAGCCCTTGAAGCATGCATTGTACTTATTTAATATAAGTAGAAACATTCTTTGAAATAAGAAATTAAAATGCTAGTCGCCTTTTTCTTATTTTACAAAGTAATGTCGTAATAAATGAGCAGTGAAGGATTGAAACAACACTAGATGCAAAATATAACAATTGAGACCATGGAAACAGCAACGCGTGGCAATGAAGTTATTCGCATCAGCGAGTACGGACATTAGAGTGGTTGGATTCCCATAGCTAAGGTGGGGGGAGGGTGGAGCTGCATGGGCATGATTGGATTGTCAGATGGTCGAGACAGAAGTGAAACTATGACTTGAATAAATTTATGCCAAGTGAAGCAAAAATGAAAATACCACAAAGTAGCACCTTTAAAGTAAATTGTATATCGCTATGGGGGGTAGCCTAAAGACTGATTGACAGAAAAGGAATAGAACTTTTGCCTACGTGCAGCATTCTTCATCATCTGGTGTAGCGTTAACGCACGCCTGCATGGAGAAGCATTTATGGATGACATTGAATGAATGATAGGCTATAGTCTAGACCTCTAAGCCATTTGCATACTGTGAAGGAATAAATCGCGAAGAAACTTTGCGATGACGAGCCATTCAGCTCTAAACTTCGAATCCAATATTCGCTAATTATTCCAAATTTATGAGGTATTCGTCGCTGGCAGAGACTTAATTGTCGGTTGTCTCTTATGAATGTAGCGATCGGGTTAATGCTTTTACTCCTAAAAAACATTTTTATTTTTCCTTTACTTAACCGAATTCGTGAGGATCTTACATGATCTTTCGCTTATGCTACCGCTGCTACGTAACGGTTGCTTTTAGTCGTTCTTCGTTTCTGTAAGGTATCTCGGAGACGATTATGTAGCAGAAATTGAAGAACCTTTGCATCTTAATTCTGATGTTGACTAAAAATTAATTCATCTCATTCTAACATATAGTTTATCCTAAAGGTCATTTAAACTAATAAATGCTCCACCATTTGCTTTTGAAGCCATAATTATGATGCTACCAACAGCAGAACAACTTCGGCACAGCGACCTGGCCCACTAGGGATGCCACTCATCCTGCACTTTAACCTCTCAGCGATGTATATTCCACTATAATAGTATACCCTCTTTTGTCTTTCGGAAAGTCTTGAGTTGCTACATTGGTAAAAGTTCCATTTGCAAGACTAAATTTTGGCTCCTTATTTTGGAGATGGCAAATTAGGGGCACGGAGGAAGCGCATTTGCCGTTACTAGGAGAGTATGTGACAGCCACTAGCATAAAGACCGAGACTGACGCTCCCTTTCTGCAACTACTCTAGTATCCTTGTCTGTTAAAATGTTTTCTGCCATGGATACCTACGACAGTCAACACCTTCTTTCGCCCCTCTGCATGGAGCACAAAAAGGCAAACCCAAAGGTTCAGTAGTAGTACTAGAAGGGATCCAATGCCTTGATGACTGGGTGGGTTTTGATTCCCAGTTCCCTGAAGGTGCGATAACAGCTACGAAGAGCAGGTAAAGAGGAGCCCACTAGGGAGGATTTTTGCAAAATGTTAATTAGTTGAACCTGGTTTTGAGTGAAAAGACCGCTCCCTGTTGAGCTATGTGACCTGCAGACCATTTCCATAGCCTCCATCTCCCCTATGTACCAGAAATGCAAAGTTTCTTTCTACCTCTTTGCATTCATGAGGGTCAGAGAGTCTATAGCCTCCCTCTCTCTCAATACCTTTATGACTAGCAATCACTTTAGTATTCATCTTGCTGTCTGCTATCTAGGCTAACCTTTGGACCAAGCCAGAGCTCAATCTCGGAGGGTTTTATGGAGTATAAGAAGCCCAGTCATACCCGTAGTACCTTGTTTGCTTGACTGCCGATACCGGTTACGGGCGCTCAGATGGCCATGATGCCCTGGCAGGGAGAAATAAGACTAACCTCCGGGCTCTGTTAAAAAGCCCTGTCCTAATTTCCATTGCTCAAGCACTATGCCTTCTCTCTTCCATAAAGGCAGTCTAGGGAGGCGAAAATGCCATCCATTATCAACCTAGAACGGCAATCAATACCGTATTAATTATGATCAAGGCCAGTACTAACGTCATTGGTTTAGGGTTTAAAACAGAACCGACGCGTATTGTTTCACGTTGACACTGAGCTAACAAAATACGCCCAAGCAGTGTCACGTGTTTTGAAGCCTTAACATTCATTGAAATACTGATGGTTGCTGAGGTAAATGAACAATTCGCTAGTTGGGAGCATTAAAGAAAAGGTAAATCCGTTTCAAGTTCTCCAAACTAACGCCCTTCTGAGGCCTAACCATAAATAAAGGATGCATTACACTCATCAGTAGTGCAAGAGCAAATGATTTTTGAAATGGAAACCAAGTGCGAAAGGAGAAGAAATAAACGTAAATAGACTAAGAGCAAGAAGTAAGGTCACTTCTTATGCAATTGGTCATACTTATCCATGTTTTTATAACCTCCGACATAACCCTGTTGAGACTTCTTATCCGGTAGGCTCTCTCGACCCTCCTTTCCTTTGCCCTTTCCCGTTTCCATATCGAACCTCTCCTTATGCGAGCCTGTGTATCCTCGATGATCAGTAAGACGAGAAGTGGCACCATCCTTGCTCATCAAGGTGACTCCACGAACACTAGGTTTACCTTTGGCCACTTTGGATTGCAATTCTGCCACTGCAGCATCGTGGTCCACGTGGCGAGCCTCCATATAGGCTTCAGCCAGCTCACCCTCCAAAAAGGCACAGAAGCCCTCAAAGTCGACATCACGGCGCCCAGCACCGAGATGCTTCCGAAATTGTATGTCTACACGATTTTGATCCATGCCTTTGCAGTAGATGCTGCAATCGGTACAGATCTTTTTGAGAGTTTTGTCAGTGCATGTTGTAGACCCCTTCTTGACAAAGTCGCAAAATGCGTAAAATGACTCCTCCATTATGTACCTACGTAGCCGTGTACACGAAACCCTGATCAAAGACTCTACACCACAGGTATGCGCTCACTGCGTAAATAAACAGCCCTGTTGACCAATTGGGCCAGTGGAACTTCTCCATTGGTGGGAGGCAGTTCGCACTGCGGGCCATTTCTGATACACTTATGTTTTTACATTTCAGTCAGCTACAGTACGACGTTACCACTCCAAATAGTAGTTTCCCCTTTATAATCCTTTCATCCATAACGGAGAGGGTAGCCTTACGCTCCGGTAAAAAACTTGCAAAGCTAAAATTTTGATTCCACTTGATAATTTCTAATGAATTGTGAAGTATGACCAAATCAGACCATTATTTAAAATTTCCCAACAAAAACTAGTTTCTTATTGGTGGTGCCACAAACAGTAGAAACGGTGTTGATGAGCACACTTACTAGAGCCGAAGAGTAGTTTTTTCCAGAAATGCTCATTTATAGCAGGCCATTTGAAGAGCTAACATATTTGTGTTTTTGTCTGTGAAGGCGACTGCATGACGACACTCATTCCACGTCACCTTCAGCTTTACGTGCCATTTACACCTGTTAGTCTCACATCACTTCACCTTGTATGCATGCCGTCAACGGTCGCGTTGGAATCCGTCAAAATTCAAAGTGGGATCAATAATAAAACCGAATATTAAAGTTAGAAAAAATTGACAATGTCAGGCTTGCAAAACCTGAAGAGTGACACTTTAAAGTGCGAAGTAACAGCAATTTAGTACATGCACACCTAGTAATAAAAAGGTCAATTTATTTCATGAAATGTGTACAAAGGGAAGGAATCGCTAAAAAAACAACCATGAAAACAAACTCGAGTTGCTTTCAACTCCCTAACGACGTTGAACAAGTTTTAAAAGGCACCAAAATAGGTCAACTAAGAGACTTACTTTGGGATAGTGAGGATTGGTGTGTTTAAGGCAACACACTCTCCAATTTATTGTAGGCGTACTGGACGGCCGCTGATTCTTCGCACACGCCAATGTCCACGAGTCTAGCTGGAAGAAATAGCTACCACTTTGAAGTGGATCTCATTCCAACTTGTCCATCTTCGATATGAACCCATCAGAGGGGATATAAAGCCGTTAACCTCGATGAATTACCATGAGCTGCAATGAAATCGCCATTCACGAGGTTTGAACAACGGCCTCGATCGCGCATATAACGTGGAGACTTCGATAAGCTAATCATTCAAAGTAGTATTTCTTCCCAAAAATCCTTTCGGACGGCCACACAATACACCTTCCGATTTAGGGTTTACTAAACGAATGACGGTAGGGGAAAAATGTCGAGCATTCCAATAGTATCAGCAGATGGGCATGAATTGGGGAAAAGGCTTGCTTAGTCAACTTATGACACCACGTTAAAAGGACGCTGAGTAAAAGAGTCGGTTTGCATGGGGCGATACCATTCCATTTCACATGCATCGTCTTCAGACAATAAATTTTGCTTCTAAGCAACCAGATTTGGTCGTCTGTCCAATCATGAAGACAGATCTACGCAAGGGTGGAGTAACTTTTTTACCCTCGGTGCATAAGCTATCCACTTTCAATTCGAACTTTCAGCACGACTCTCTACAGAGAACTAGGACATTGTCAGGTACCAAAGACTATTGCCATGCGACTCACCGCGTGTAAAGAGTATACAAGAAAGGTAGCGTAAAAAGAGAGTTGGAATGTTGAGTGGGAGATGATCTGATCACAAACTCCCAACGCATCAGTATACAAAAATCGAGGCTTAAATAGCAGGGGGCGGTGACCTTCAAAACTCGCTTAATATGCAGACATTTAGATGTTGCGAATTCGCTGGAAGATCCAAATAAAAGTAATAAAACAAAGTATCGGAATAAGTGGCTTCCTTTACGCCAACAGAAGGAGACAAAGCGTTATATGAGTGCAGCGTCGCGAGACTTCCAACAGGGTAGAAGAAGGCAATAAGTGAGGTTGAATACGTGTACAGTAAAGTGAAGAAAGAGACAAGGCCTGAGCTTGGCCCGAAGACCAGCCGACGTTTACAAGGGTCAAACCAATGTTAGCATCCGCTGGACATCAAGTGGTCGCGTAAACGGAGTATTACAAGGAGCGTTATGCATCAATGTGCAGAAAAATTAGCTTTTTTTAAGAAACAGTAAAGCCATGCATATCTTGAACATTTCTCGAAGAGCATGCCGTTTGGCTAAAGATTGTGAAAACGACAGATATTAACCCTAAATCTTCCCATTTTTTCGCAGCAGGAGTAAGATTGCCTATACCTGTATTCATATGGAAAGATTAGAGTTGGGGCTGCAATTATTTGTTTGTATGACGACATATATGGCCAGCTGCCGGTTTTTATTAATTGTCTTGCTCTTACTTGCCGAGGCTGACCTTCGGGCCCCACCAAAGCACAACCTCTTCCTCTTCTGTCTGAATGCAAGTACTCAGCCTTACATAATCTCTCCTACAACATAGTACAAGTCGCGAGAGGTAAAATAATACATTCCTTCTTAGAACTACATCCAAAACACTCACAGAGATAAACATTCCTTGTCACTCATCACAATGTATTCGGTGCTGCGAGGGAACACTCACGAGACAGCTGATCCACTCATCAACTCCTGCAGAACTGAGAAAATTAGCTCGACCCTCCTAGAATCTTCAACCTGGATTGAAGTCACATTCGCTCTGCCAACAGAGATCAAAAGTGAGAAATTGAGTTGACCGGCTGGAAGATGGAACACTGGTTCAAAACAGGTAGGTAACAAAAAAAAAGGGGATTCAAAATCCCCTTGTGAAGGACGGTTGAGCATAATGCCTTGGCCAACATCTGTACGTGGACATAGTAGAGGAGTCTTCCAAACGAATATTTTCCATGTGTTTGACTATGGTGTGGCTTTATTTATCAACGGTTTGCAGGCGCCTTTCTCAACCCTTCTTTTACTGCAAAACAGGGCTCCACCCGATCAAAGCATATTCACTTCACTTGCACCACAGAAGTTTGTCACACACGGTGGAGTCTGGGATAGAATCGTAACAGAGTTGGGTTAATATTTCCACTGCTACTAGTGTAACATCCCAAATAGTTGTTTTCTAGTAGAAGTGGGTACTCGATATGGCCTGAAATCTGTTTTGCTCAGCAGAAGCAAGATGGCAGTTACAATGAGAGACTCATACAGGCAGTTGAATGGTGTAACGAAAACAGTAGACCAAACATTTAAATTCAACCAAGTAAATGTGTCCATAGTTTTATTAAACAAAGAGGGGTGATGACGACCACATTAACTTTCGTGTTTACATTTACGTAGGTAGAAAATTTGCAAAACTGCCGAGGCGAAGGGAGAAGTGGACATTGTGGTGATGGAGAAAAACTATTTCAGCCCAATAAACAGGATCTGAAGCTAACTGCTCCCTTGGATGAGATGTGTGATGGAGGCTTAAGTGTAGAGAACGAATTCCTAAAGATCCCCATTCTCGAATGTAATCTTAGATCTCTATGGAACACCGCACTCCTTCTTACCTCTTCTCATTCACTAATGTGCATGGTGATTCATCTTGGCGTTGTTAGTGGTAAGAATAAGACAAATAAAAGTAAATTACTGTGATGAAACTGATGCCATTTTGTCTCCGGCACACCGTATTCGCCACTCGCTGACGCGTTATCCTTCACATGTTTTAACACATGAGTTAAAAGGCGTCTACAGGGTAGATCGTTCCACTGGCTGGAAAAACTCATGCTCAAAGACCGGAAGTAACGCATTGTGGGAGTGCACAGAAAATACTATTGTGTGATCAGGATGTCAAAGGTCTTTTTCTAAGCACGAATGTTTAGTTTTCTCGGTTAATCGTGATGGCTTTGGTAGTGCTAGGTCGGTAAAATTTGTTTGGGATTCGCAACAAGTCGTTATATGTAGGTACTAGTGAGTAGAAACGAGATGTAACATTGGAGTTGCGCACATTTATATGCTATCGCGCTTGAATACGGTCCATTAGTTGAGGTGACGCCCACATATACAGGTGGGCTTTTGTTACAGTAGAGCACCAATTACAGTTGGACGTGGCTATTATTTAAGAAGTATTCGAAAGTGCTTGAAGTAGGTTGCGAAACCAGAGTGGATGAGGATGCATATGAACCTCTTGCTGGTATTACTATTGTCGTTGTTTTTTTTAATAAATGCACCAAAAGCGAAAGGGGTGGCAAGTTACACTGGTGCGAGTGTAAGTGAAACTGAAGATAATGGCAATGATTATGAAGATTATGGCAATAGCAATGGCAATATCGACGTCAAGGGTGGCAACGGCGGTAGCGGTAGAAGCGACGGCAGAGGTGGAGACGGTGGTGGTGGTGGTGGCGGTGGCGGTGGCGGTAAGGGCAATGGTGGCAGCGATGCTGACAGAGGAGGGAGAAGAGGCAATGATGGCAGAAATGATGGGCTCAATAGTAAGGATAGCATTGGTGATGAAAATCGCCATCAGGGACAAGTGAATGTCAATGAATACATCAAGAATCTGGACCTGTCTGTGTCCTCTGCAGTCTTCTTTTCCCCCTTCTTCCATGTCTATCTTTTTACCGCATCCAATCTCCTCCTACATTCATGACGATTAATTCGCTTAATGAGTTAAACAGCCTACCAAATCATTCGTAAAAATTACTGGTAGATGATTAGTATAGCGTTTCGTCAATTGCCTTTAAACCCAACTAACGTGGCATCAAATCTCTTGCGATATGCAATTATTAGTAAACAAAAGTTTGATTGAGCGGAAATGACATCTTTTGCATTCATAGTAGGGCTTACTTTCACCAGCATTGACTGCAGCTATCGGCAGTGTCCTACTGCTACATCGGATGTTGTTGTGTGCAAACACAAATTGAGAAACTTCCTCCTGTATTTACCGACTGTATTATGGATGGTGCGAACAAACCTTTGACATTAAACTTACTGCTCAAGTCTGTACGTACACCAATCGGTGCCTCTTTTGGTCTCGGGCAAAGTTTAAATTCCATTACAAAATTAGATTTGAAATGAATGGGGCGATGGCATCTTAATGCTTTCTTGTTTTGAAGTCGTTGTTAGCATGTGTGAGAAACACTTTTTGGCATAAATGCTAAGACTATAAACTCGACATTATTGAAGCGCTCGACAAAGAACAAAAAGATGCGAGGAATGGCTGTTTTCAATTTAAGTGCTGCTGTTGATTGTGCACACCTCCAAGACAAGTGTTCCACTTACCGCATAGGCGCCAAATGTCTCAAACCCTTTGTTGGGAAACGCTATCTTTAAATGTGATCGACACTTTTCTACTAATTGAGGAAAGTCGTTGAGAAGACTTTCTATTGACCTCAATATTAATTAAATTCGCTTTTATTCTTTTGTATGGTTCCCAACATGGCAGAAGCTGTTTTCTATTCATCTAAATGAAAGAATGTAGGCTTGTGTCTTTCGATTTAATGCAAGTGTCGGAGACGTCACCCTCCTTCTGGCACCAGACCCACACGCGAGGTCATTGCTTTAATAATCGAAGTATAACCTGTTCAAGAAGGACGAGCCATAATGGAAGAGGACTTTGTTGTACCACCTTCCACATCGTGAACACATCGCTCAAGGTCGGCATTAGTTTTGACTCAATGATTCTGCTTTGAATTTTCCACTTACAACTCAAGTTTATTGCTCCAAAGGCGGGGACATCAGCATTGATTAACGCATGAAGGCCGACGAAAGCAACAGTGCTACCAAGAGAAAAGGCTTCACCACACAAGAACATTATGTTTAGTAACTTGATCTACGTATTTGACCAGATTCTTACATTAAAGCAACCTCTTTAGCCGATCCACAGCTAGGCACCTCCGTTCACGAGATGGACATGAGATTTCCGCAATGTTCCCCATCCTAGACAGTGGGTGCTTACATCTTCGATTACTGGTGTTGCTGCCTTGGGTTAAAACCAACATAACGCATCATTTGGTGTCTGAGGTGGAGATGGAGAGGAAGAGCTATGCATTGACCACACAGCATGCAAGTACATAGCATCATGCAAATGAAGAAGGAAGGTTATTGTAGTGCTTCTTAGCAGCCAAATCCTGCCTAATTTCCCCTTCTCCCTCTTCCCAACAAAAAAGCGAATTAAAATTAATCCAAATGTGCTTCAGATGCTTTTGTGGCTGCAAATATGGCTTCAGTTACCCATAAGAAAAGAGAAATGCTTAATGTTTTCCTTACCTCAAATTGCAATTCTCAGTAAAGGACCTTTGTTTAACGCTTCATTAGAGCTGGATTCTCTGCTTATGTTCGTTTGAAAATTGCATCCTTACTTGCCTTCTGCAAGGCTCGATATCACCATTGCACACTTTTTAATGGTACACTTCCCTCTGTTATTCCTCGTCATGTGTTCTTTATATTAGCATGGTGGAGAGAACACTGTGAATTGCTAACAGACCCCATAATGGGCAGTTGGACAAAGCGATGGAGGATGCTTGAGAGTGCAAACAATGTTTCATGCATGTAAACACGTCAAATTTGCTTTCTTTTTATTGAAGTGTGTGGAAGCTGAGTGAGGTCTAAGCAGTGCTGTTTGCACCTTAAATTCTAGTTATGCGCATTTTTTCTTAAGAGATATCTGTACGAATGCTGTGATTTGGAAGTGCTAAGTGCAGTGAATAGCAAATCCTTCGGGTTTCCAAATCCTCGTGATACTGGCCACACAGCAAGTTGAACGAGAGGGTGAGTTTCGAATTCCATACCTTAGAGTTCGGGTGTCAGTTGACGAGGTTTTAATTTCAAAACCCATGCAATAGCTTAGGATGTGAGCGCAAAAATGCCACAAATTGTTGGGAAATGAAGGACTCGACGTATGAACTAGGGCGCCTGCAACACGTCCCCATGGTACGCGTGGACGTGCGTAAGTGTACGTCGGAAGCGTTACATGCAGACATGAGCGTGCAAAATGATTGTAACGATGGGTGCATTGTAAAGACGACCTGAGCTAAGCAATTTAACGCTGGAAGAAGCGAAATGAAGAGAGGAGCGAGGAAGCTGTGTTGGTTTGGAGGTCTCTTATTGCACCATTTTGTCTGAAGGTCTGCACAATGTCTGCCCAAGGCAGGCATACAATTGAGGCAACCACCATCTGTGAATGGACAGAATGACTGACGGGAAGAATTAACCTCATGAGGTGGTCGCAAGTCTCCATCTTTTCACTCCAAATTCCCTCGGATGTCCTTAACCAACTGACAGGCCAATTTTCGTAAGTCTTCACATCAAGACCTTCACGATTTCCATTATCGCAATAAAGGTCTTTACCAGATGCATTATAAGGGCGTGCGTAGAATGAAGTTAATGAGAGAAGCTGAGTTGAAACCCATAGACATTGTCTCAATTTCTCCAACTTAAAACAAAAGCACCTCAAAGGAGTCGCAACCACAATTTATAAAAAATGTTTATCGAAAAGAGACGATATTATTCGCAAATTGACTCAACACTTCATAGACAACAAACTTTACATCCATTAATGCCTTCATTGGAACGCCAACAGTACCTTTACGTCTAGGGAGACGTAGTCAAGTGCCAGTAGACATCTTATGAAGGTGTTTGTAAATAAAATTGACGCTGTATTGTAAAGGAATTCTCGCAAAATACGCTAGTTCAAAAGCAAATACGACACAGGCAGCTGACGATTTGTGAGGGTGGTACTGAATGACTCGATCAAGACCACACGAAGGGCTCATAGCTGCCACGTCGAGCACAAAGTGGTACATATTCTGCCATTCATGGATTCCTACGGAGCAGCTCATGGTAAGTTCTCCTAATGGACACCTACTAAAGGTATCAAGGACGAACAAAGCGCCGACTTTGATAGGTGTCATTTTTACACTTAGCTGGCATATCCACGCCCTTACATCGAGTAGGAATGCAGCCATGCGACCACCTCAAAAAAATCCTTCTGCTTTAAGGTGCAGTTCTTCAAAAAACTTCCCCTTCATCACCATTTGTGAAAACGATTAAGGAGCTTAAACTAGCATTTTAAGCACTTTTATAGAAAGGAGAAGCAGACCTTGGGGATGAAGACAAATATCGCGGTTAGACATTTAACCAAACTTGAGAAATACAATGAGACGACCGCTTTACTCCCTTTGACAAAACGCTTTGCAAAAGGAATCAAGGCTATAGAACAAAAGTTTCACACCACGTCCGTTCCCAACACAAACGGACTAAATGGATTTTGCGGTAAACCTCTAAACCTGATACCAAGCTTTAGGAAATAAAGTACCTCCGACATCAATTAATTGGTGACGGAGACGTTCATACGGACGTTCATGCCCCTGAACTTTGCAGCGGCCGAATGATTCCTTATTGCCGCAGCCATGTCACCGCCAAAGGAATCTTCGCAGAGTAGAGTCTTAAAACAAACATCTTGCAGTAAGTCAGTATAGACATTAATGAGACCCTGTTCTGGTGCATTTATGAGCCCTAATAATCCCGTTCCCTTTTGCTACCCAAACTCGATCGTTTGAGATCGCATCGACTCCAGCAATCATCATAATAGGAACAACCAAGCACCCTCATCCACTCACTTTATATTATCAATCTTTTGATAATATGTCCCCGATTATTCATTCCTTAAAGAACTTCATCTTTCTCCCATTACTTTTACAGTTTATCAGTTTTGCACTGCTGCTACTGATTAAATATAAGTAGGATTTCGTGTAGTCAAAGTTTGATCTTAAGTCGTGTTTATTGATTTACCAGGCGGTTAAATTTGCTTTACTATGCATCGAAAGCTGTCAGTTCTGCTGACCACAACCATCTCATTGCTTCTTAAGCGGATACAAACTCCAAAATTATCGCTTCGACTAGTCATGCAAGGCTTAGATGTGAACCCGTCAGCGGGCTCCCCGCCATTGTAGTGCGCGATGAATGTACTGATTTGCATAATTTTGGCGGTTAAGGAAGGTGGAAGAAATCACATACGAGATTTTACAGATAGTTAGGCATTTTCACTTCTTGATTATGGAATAAATTTTACCTGCTTTTAAATATGTGGTAATGAAGTATTCTTTCCTTTGGATTAATCTCTTCTGCCAAGTCATCAATCCTAGAGCATCAAAGAAGTCCCTTCCCACTCCTCGAGGTCTCTGATCTACGACATAAGCGGTGATGTAGTCAGTAGTCCATATCAAAGGAAAAAGAAAATAGATAAAATATTGCCAGTTGTGCATGCCTGACCTGCAAGACCTTAACTAATATCCGTAGCTAACCATGAAAATGGCGAAAATATCAAGTAATTTCATTAATAATTGTGCTAATAGGATAAAGTTCTTAGTTAAATGCATCATTTAGGAAAAATACAGCTTGCCATAGTTCGCGTCGTTTAGTTCAGGGCAGGAGTTCAACAAGCCATCATGGCGCGAATTCCGCCTCGTGTGTCTACTCCCAGGAGGCTCTTATGCATTTATTTAAGTTCGGGGCGAACCAGAC